ATTTGATCTTTCTAGGGTCAATCTTTATACCTCTATGCCAGACTATAAAGCCCAAAAAACTTCCCGGAAGAGACTTCGAAGGTGCACTTCAATGTGTTCATCTTCAAATCAATTTTTTAAGGCATTCAAAGACTGTCCTTAAATCTGAGAGATGATCATCCTTGGACCAAATTTTGACAACCACATTGTCAATATAACATTGGACTTAGTGATGTAACAAGTCGTCAAATACATGAGTCATGGCATGCTGATAGGTCCTTATTCAGGTCCCGAAAGTCTATGCAAATTTATATCTATTCATTCTTCTTACAAATGGAAACAATGTTTATAGGCTATGTAAAGTAGGAAATCTCCCTAATGAAGCCAACCTCGATGAACATTTTGGTCTCTTCGATGACCAATAGCTCTTTCGTTGGCTGCATCCTCTGAGGTATCTGTTTCATCAAAGTGATACTCGGATCAATGGTAAGATTGCAGACAACAACCTCTAGAGCTAAATTAGGCATTTCAAAATAGCTCCAAGCAAGACAGTTCTAAAACTCCTTAAGAATCTCTATAATTTTGTTAGCCATATAATCTAATAGGAGTTTGCTTGTAAAAGTGGAATGAGGATCGTCAGTTGTGCCTAACCTGACTTCAACCAACTCATCAATGGTCGAAGAGACACCGTCCTCCAATTCGGGAGGGACATGTCTAACTTCAACCTCCTCATCATGAGAGGTATAGATCTCGCTATTGTGAGATGCAGGGATCATCTTGCTTGAAGCATTGAGAATCTTAGCATCACCCCACCTTTTGTCATATCCTAGACCGAATTTGTCTTTTGGGTGTTTATTCTACCACATAGCCTTTCACATGTTGGTTTAGCGAACACACCACCTTTCAAGCAGTAACCTGTTATCCAAAAGCTTTGAAATGAAGGGCGAACATTAATAAGAAAGAGAGATATATCATTAACATAATTTAAATAGATTACATCATTGTTGCTTACGGGGAAATGTACTTTATAGAAAAAAATGCCTCTCCATTTAGACTCGAGCCAAAGAGGTACATAAAATGTTTTGAGATCCTTCATTGCAAAAGTACATGCAATTGTCAAATCCCCTACGGTGGCCTTGAGGCACCAGGTAGATAGTCAACACTTCATATGCTAAATATAACTTGGATAAGCGAGGGACCATGACCACTGATGGTAACCAGAAAATCTCTTTATCGAAGCCATCTGGACTATCTCTATTTAGGCCTTCACATTCATCTATATGTAAGGCTTGTTCTGCCTCAGAATAAGTGTCATAATTGATATTTATCGTAACCTTAGAGGTTGCAGACTAGGGAGCCTTCTAAATGGCTCCACTGCAGTTGGGGCATAATGCCTTTCCTTCTGCTTTGCTATCTCTTCACCTTCGGCTAGGCAAGTGTTAGGAAATGAAGTGGCCCGTGGTTGTCCCACAGTGCTAGAAGAAGGTAGATATATCTTATGAGGTATGTCGTACTCAACATCATCATATATACCCACATCATTCACCTAAAAAGGCTGGACATCTCCTAAAATGGAAAGCTTTTTGCATCCACACATGTACGCACTGGTGGAGGGTCAAAGGTACCATCCCGTACTCATTAATTCAGGTTCATCCAAGCAAGGCTCTAAAGGATGTGCTTCTGTCAATGATGTGGAACTTAGCTTTACTTTTGAACTCCCCAAATTGGAGAGGAAGACCCAAGGGTCTTTTGACCCTTCTCGTTGAAGTCATTCAACATGATCTGGTTGAAGTATAACCATCACATGTTTAGCGAAAACAACTCTAAAGTACACACACCGATGATGTTAATGGATGATCTGGGATTGACTAAGATATGGTTCAAAGGTGTACTGTATATCATAGCTATCACGTGCAAGGGACGGTTGTGGTCTGTAGTTCTCAACAATCGGTCCTCCTCAGAAATGGTGATGATAGTTTTGTCTTGTAGCATGGCCTCCTGCTTCATTCTCTTCTTAGCATATTAAGCGTGGAATACTTTGGGCTCCAAAAGATCTTTCACCAAAGTCTTCCTTATCTCCAAGGATAGGAGAGCATCATATATGTTCAACGATGCTGACAACCTTTTTAGGCGTGCTAGCACATTGTAATCCACCCCATTAGAGGGGTTCTTAGTTTCTTTGCACTAGGAAAAAATGTCACAAGGATCATCTACCTCCTGGGTGATGATCTCCTTCCCCTTATTATGAGAGGTAGACATAACTAGCCTTGGAGGAAGGAGCTTGCAGCTTCATAAGCAGACCTCTTGAATATCCTCATTTGGGGACCCAACAGGATCGGTCCCAACGGGATACTCAGGAAAATGCTCTATGGAAGGGCCCTAAGAAAGAGGCATCATGCCTACATCGTCTGAGAATCACTCACATTGTCACAAATGTGGTAAGCAACGTCGAAGGAGTGCAATAATAGGTAATGCTCCTCTCCTTCACTAAGAACATCTGTGTTAGTCTTGTGAGAGGTAATCATAAACAAAGAAAAATACTAAAAAATGTCTTCCTTTATTTCTTCATCATCAGTATAAAACACTTCAATTGGAACAGACTCCTGCTCTGACCTAACATTTGTAGCAGAAAAGAAATAAAGTACATCAACAGAAAGTACATTAGAAGTAAAAGCTACAGTGGGAGTAGCTGGAACAGTTGCAACAACTCTGTCTGATCCTCATCCAAGAGGCTTCTCCATGTACTGCTCCATAATCTCTATCTCCCCCACTTTATAGTGGGATTCAAGCCAATTCTTAAAGACATAGTAGTCTTCAATCACATGCCCAAGATGCCTATGATATTGATAATAATTAAGCTCCTTGGTCTTCTTTACCTCATCGGGCTTCTTCAAAATAAGAAGCTGCATGCTTAGTTTTAGAAGATTCTTAAAGATCTTCCTAAGGCAATTTCTCCTAAAAGAGTACGCTCTAGGCTTCTTCTGATCAAAAGCTTGGCCTTTCCACTTCTAAGAAGATCAGTGAGCTGGCTCGACAGACAGGATAGGCTTCTTCAACTTGCCATGAACTGTCGCCAACACCAAGCCCTCTTTCATCCTTCTTGAAGGGTAGGCTGAAAAAGGCTTTTGCCTTTAGTTTTATCATCTGACTTGAGAACCAAAGACCCTGTTGTATCCTGTAGGCTAGCTACCTTCTCTATCAAGGCCTCAAAAATTTTGATAGGAGTGATTTTGAGCAAGACAGAGGCTGGACCTTCGATTTTGCCCATGAGAAACACGACAACATGTGCTCTTGTAGGAGTGGCTCACATTTCATGCTCAAGTTGTGCCAACAAATAACAAAATCTATCAAAGAGTCGTTGGAATTTTGATGAGCCAACATCAAATCATGCAAAGTGGCTCGATTATGCGTCTCAATGAAGCATTTCACAAACGCTTCTTCTAGCTTGACAAACATTTTGAAGGAGTCATTTGGTAAATCGACATGCCATTCGAATGCAAATCCAACCAGAATAGTAACAAAGATGTGAAAGATCAAAGCGTCATTGTTTCCGAAGTTGCAACACAATGCACAAAACAGAGCAATGTGTTGATGGGGATTTCCAACCCCATCAAATTATTTGAAAAGCAGATGGATGAACCCTAGAGGACAAATTTTGAAATTATTAGGAAGATCAAACTAAGTAAATTTAATATCTCCAAAATATTCTCTTAAAGATAAACCATTAAACCACAGATCTTAAAAAAATAAGAGTTTACTAATATAAATAACTTAAAAAGTTAAAGAATGTCTAATTTTTTTAGCCACTTTTTGTAAGTTTTTCCAAAAAGGAGAGACTTTAGAATAAGAATGATGCCAAATAGAAACATAATGATTACAACACCAATTAGATATAAGAGAATCAGAATTGTAAAATTTCCAAATGATTTTGGATTTACACATGGAATCAAGTTATCTAAAGAAGGAAGGCCAATACCCCCATAATCTTTAGGCATATTAATCTTATCCCAAGCAATGATATGAAGCTTTTTTATCTTCTTTATTATTATGAAGAAAATTAGATATTAGAGAAAGTTTTCTTTTTCAAGCCTTTAGGTAAAACTGTCGAACGAAAAAAGTAATATAAATAACTCCATATCTTGAATTTATTTAATTGAAGCTCACAAGCAGAAGATAAATATTTTTTCTTCCAACCAGCCAACCAACCATGAATTTTATCAATGAGCCTATGACAGTCAGTTATGATTAGCTTAGAAGGTTTAATAGTGATATCAAATAATTCCAAGGAAGTGGATTATATCAAAATGATAAAGAAGAAATATTATGTTGAGTAACAACATCAACTGCTTTAGAGAAAGTAATGTCAGATTTAGAAGTATTAATATAAAGATTGATAGCTCTACTAAAGTTTTCAAAAGTCTTAGTTATATAATTGATGGAAAGATCACCAGTTTTACCAAATAACAAAATATCATCAACATAAATTAAGTGAGATAACTTAAAAACATTTTTAGCCATCTTATTATTCAACATAACTGAAAGTAAATCCATAATAATAGCAAAAAAAAAAAAAAAAAGAGAAAGATGGCAATCCTGTCTTAAGCCAAACGATGTGGGAAAACAACTTTTAAGTTCACTATTAATTATGACAGAAAAAATTTGCTTCAGTCATTCAAGCCTGTATCCAATTTATAAAAGACGGAGGAAAACAATCATGTACATTCTTTTAAATAAGAAATTCCTATTAACTATATTAAAAGCTTTAACAATATCCACATTAGCACAAAATTGCTTAGGAGAATTAAAAAAAATTAAAGCTCATTTACTAAAATAATGTTATGAGCAATATCTTCACCCTTAATATAAGTGGATTGAGCCGGATTAATAATTCCATAGCAATAAAGCAATAACTTTATAAATGATATTATATAATGATAAAATTTTATAATCAGACAAATAATTGTCATCAGTTCTTTTAAAAAAATACTTGATACAATCTTGTACAATAGTTTGCCAAGACACTTAAAAAAAAATTGCTTCGGTTCTTCTTCCTCCACTCCTTCCCGCAGCTCGCGAGCCTCTCCTCCTCTCGACAGAGCCGCGCTCTTTACCTCCTCCCTCGGCTTCTTCTTCTCCGTCGACTTCTTCTTCCACCGCACGCGAGCACGGCGTCGCTCCTCCACGCACGACGCAGGCTTGTTCCTCCTCTTTCGCACAGTAGCAGAATCTATGGCATCATCTTTGTCGCTCTTCATCCCGCGCCTCGCCCGCTGTACCATCTTCCCCCGATTTCCCTGCTTCACTCGTAAACTGCCCCTTAGGTTTCTAAATCGAAGAATCTCAATAACTACTTCCCTCCATTTATTTTGCGCTGCCGCTTCCTCATCCCCTTCCATTCACACCTCTTCTCTTTCTCTTTCTTCTCCTGTGGCTGAAAATCTATCCCTTGATCACACCTCCGAAAGCCTAGAAGATTGTTCACTGCAATGGGTCTCTCCAACTGACTCTTGCGGCGAGCTTGACGTCGAAGATGTTGGCAGGCGCGTCCGACTTTGCGGCTGGGTCGCGCTTCGTAGAATTCATAGGGGGCTCACTTTTCTGAACCTCAGAGATGACTCTGGAATAGTTCAAGTGAGCTTTGGTTCTTAAAATTTCGCTTTAGTTAATGTTGGATCGTTCGTCTGTTGATCTGTTCATTCTTAGATTGCCACGCTGCCTGATGAGCATCCGGATGCGCATGCAGCCGCGAACAAGTTGGGGCTTGAGTGGGTCGTTGCCATAGACGGTACTGTTCGAGCTCGACCTTTCGAGTCAGTTAACGAAAAGATGAAAACTGGGGCGGTGGAGGTAATAAGATAAATTTATTTGATTTTTTCTTGGTTATATTAGCACGATTTCCATCCTAAGACGCCCAACATTTACTTTTTGGTTGCTTTGATCTATGAAAAATTATTCAGGCATTTCTGTTGGCATTTTTCTAAGGTTAACATGACATTAGCTTGTTGAAAAAATTTTCCTGCAAATAAAACATGGTATGGAAACTTACTTGTATTCATCTCTGATTCCCAATTTGAGTCATTTAACCTTCACAAATTTGGTAAACTCAATTTCTGTAGGTCACGAACTTGAAATTTCCATTGCTATGCCTAACAAAAATTTACATCACTGTATATTTTCTTAAGTTTGTTGGTCTTGCTAATGGAAGCTTTGTGCCTTGTCTGCCGCATTGAATTTGTGTTTTGGGCACGGTTCAAGCCTTAACTAGATTAGTTAGAATTATTGAAGCTCTATTTTCTATAACTTTTGGCTTCCTTGCTTCTTTTTACATGAACAATTAAAGCATTTTTAAACTATTTGGCCTAGCATTTATGAAAAAAGTTCAGTTGTAAATTATTAAAAGCAACTTTCTTAAAATGATAGTATAGGCTATGGTACAGGAGTTAATCCAAACAACAATAAAAAAATAAATTTTATTATTGAATTAAAATATAACTTACAACCAAACACGTGGAAATATGAAATAAAAACTACGATACATCATCCTGACTAGGGTGACTTTTAAAGTGATCGTGGAGGTGGAGGGGGCTTGGGAGGATGGCGGTAAGATAGGAAAGGGGCTGAACTGTAGAAATACAACGTCACAACAGCGGAAGGCTATTGGCATGGGCTGGCGACGCATTTGGAGGGGAGGAGCGGTGGCTCGGTAGGCTGGGAAAGGAAGGGACAACAATAAGATAGCTGAGGAGTTAGAGAAGGATAAATACTCTCTCGGAAACAAGCTACAATCGGAACACCACTTGAACATTGAAAGAAGATTACCATCCCAGACCTGTTATGGCCGAAACATCACATGCCTTTGGATACAACTCTAGAAGGAGAAGCCGAGATATCGACGACTGTCCTAAGCAAAAAACACCACCAAAATATAAAATCTAAAAACATGAATCTAACATATAAGCCCAGGTAATTAGGATTGAGCCTACTTTTAAAAGGAGAAGACAAATCCACTTAAGGAAGGTTGTGGTACTGTAGAAAAATCTTGGCACTTTAGCAAAACAGTAAACGGGGCTCCCAGGTAGCTCTCGCTTCAGTGACCCGAGGTTGGGGGAACTTCGATCTCATTTGTCTAAGTTTATATCTCTTCGTAGTAGTCAAGTCAGCTTTGGTGAAGGTAGCCGCCATGTTGCAAGCTCCAGGTTGGTCAATCTTGTAAGCATTTTCATTTCAAAGCACATACTGATAGAATAATATCCATCCATATTTGACAAAATTTGAGCTGGAGTTGCGTAGATTTTCACAAGCCAAATCTCGAACAACTAAATCTATAATATGCTTCTCCCACTCATACTTCACTGGACATATATGATAAAAAAGTATGCAAGGAGGATTAAACTCTAGGACAAAATTTATGACAGGCTGAGCAACTCTTACTAGCAACCAGTCAGGAGAGACCTGTTCCTTTCTGGTAGGACCTGAATTACTTTGAAGAATTTTCTTTCCAATCAAGCTCCTAAGGTAATTTTCCAAAATTGTGGTTCATCCCTTCTGTCTGCCTATCTGTTGGTGGGTACACTGCTGATTTGAATTTAATATCCTGATAATTCCATATAGCATCCCAACAGTAGCTCATATGTTTTTCATTTCTGATATGTCAGACCACTTTTAGGGTAAACACCCAATAAATGAACTGTCCGTCGGGATGTTTGGCAAGTTCGTCAATAGTGGTTGTCTCTTTTCAGGTATAAGCTATTCAGACTCACTATGTTTTAGAGCAACTACTGTTAATTCTACCTGGGTATCCCTTTGAATTACGTGCAACTCTCCCTCATTAGTTGGTTGTTGGTACTCTTTTGTATCCTCACCTTTTTAGTGTCTACTATGTCATTGTTCATTTTTTTGACAATTCCCTGGTCAATGAAATAGATCATTCCCTTGGTTAGGGGTGTAAACGAGTCGAACACGAGCGAGCCATCCTCAGCTCGTGTTCGACTTGTTTATATTTCAAGCTCAAAAAATGTGTTCGTATTAGACTCATTTGCTTAACGAGCCGAACATGAGCTGTTCACGAACAAAGAGTCCTTTTGACAACCCTAATTATGTAACAATGAGACGATAATGGTTTGAGCAAGATTTAAAAATTATTATTTATATTTAAACATCATTTGAATCTAATTTAATAATTTTTATTCTATTTTCTTAATTAATATTTTAATTGATTATAAATCTTTGTAGCTTTGTAGTCAATTAGATTTTTTTAAAATACTACTTATATATATGTATATATATATAAACTTGATGAGTAGTATTTCGAGCCAAAATGAGCCAAACACGAACGAACACATCTTTATTCGTGTTCGGCTCGTTAACTTATTGAACGAAGTTAACGAGCCAAACACGAGCTTCTTAATGAGCCGAATACAAACTGTTTGCGAACAACGAGCCTACCCTTGGTAGTGCAATCTGATTAAATATGCCCAAATTTATGGCCCTTGAAATACAGTTGGGTACTTGATGACATACCCTTGGTAGCCAAACACGAGCTTCTTAATGGCTGGGACGGATTTGGGAATGCGGATTGGTTCCACATATTTTCCACCCTGAACTAGTGTCTCCTCAGGTGGGCTTGACTTTGATGCTACTTTAAGTGTACTCTGGATGTAAGAATTTGAGGTTGAAACTTGTCTGTAAGATGTGGCGGTTGCTTGAGGGCATTGTTTCTCTAATTTTGAGGCTAAGGTTGAACATCCTGCTCGCAATGAGTTTATAAGTATTGGCGTAGCATCTTTCGTTTCATCATGGATCAGGTAGTGATTTTTCTTTTTCCCTTACATTGACGTAGGTGCTTCAAATTTTCGCACCAAAATAATGCACTCTTCTTTAACTTGATGACATCTAGTCTCACCATTCCGTCCGGTGGGACATCGTGACACTCAAAGACACATTACAAAGTTCATAAGTACTCAATAAACGTGCCCGAATTCATGTAGCCATAGAAATATGGCAAATCCACCTTCAAAAGCCTGACTTATTCAATATTTAATGCCAAATCTTTTGGGTAGTGGGTCTTCATTTCGGGGATTGAATGAAATTTGTGTGACCCCTCAGGATGGTCTCCTCTTGAAGGCAGGGAGCCTCTGCTACAGTTGGAGGGTCCGACTACCTATTCTTCTTAAAAATATTTTGGACACCTATTTATGGATTTCTCATAAACAACAGTGTCATTTTCTTCGATCAGGTTTCCGACTATTATATCTTCCGTGGCATGGTTGGGGTTTGGGTAGGTGGAAGACAGTTTATAAGGGTTGTGTAGGCCTAGAAAGAGAATTTTTGGGTGGCTAGTTTGGAAAATCAGCGAAGAAAGAGTTTTAGGTGGAGATGGGATTGGGTGTTAGTAGTTATTGGAAACCCTAGGACTAGTGTAAGACTAGCTTTGATACAAAATGATATCAGAGTTAACCCAAAAGATAATAGAAAAAAAAATTATTTTTTGAGTTCAAATATGAAGTTACAACTAGATACAAAAATAGGGATTAACAACAACTACGACACATCATTCTGACTAGGGCGATTTTAAGGTGGTGGTGGAGACCGTAAGGGGCTTGGGAGGGTGTAGTAGGATAGAAAAGAGGCTTGACTGCAAAAACAATAGCAGCGCAACAATGGGAGGCTGCTGTCCAGGGGTGGCAGCACGTAAGGAGGGGAGGACCACTGGCTGGGAAGGCAGGGACAATAGTAATGTTGCGAAGGTGTCGGAGAAGGTTAAATACTGCCTCGGGAATAAGCTACAACTGGAGCACGACTCATCCCTTAGAAGAGGATCACCACCTCAGACGAGCTATAACCGGAGCACCACTGCTTTTGGATACAACCTTGGAAGGGAGAAATCGAGACATTGAGAGTGTTCTAAACAGAAACACCATCAAAGCTGAAAAACCTAAACACATGAATCAAATATATAAACCCTAGTTAATTAGGATTGGGCTCACTGTTGAAAAGAGGCTCCAAATCCACGTAACCGCAGAATCGGGGCTCTGAGGTAGCTCCGCTCCCGCGTTAGGCTGCTTTTCAGAAATGCTATTTTATTAAATTTAACTTTTCTATATTTTTAAGTAATTATTTATTTTATTTGATTAGAGCTATTCAAGATAAGGATATTATATTATAATCATATAAAATTTATAAGATGTATATTTTTGTCATTTTATGAACTCATGCCCATGCCAAAATAATTTTTTTGTCAAACAGTCACAAATATTACAATATTTTAGAAAATAAATTTAAGATAACTTTTGCTAACAATTATCTGATTTGATAGCACAACATATCATAATTTAACATGATATAATGCAAAAGTCAGTGTTAACAATCCCAAAAAGAGCCTTGATGACAAGTATATTTTTGTGTTTACTTTTTGTTAAATATATATATTTTTTTGTTGGCCTATTTTATGCTTGAACATCTAGCTTTATTTTAGTCTATTTTTTGATAGTACTAGCCTAGCTTGATTCTGCCAAAGGCTTGCACCCTTAAGATCACATATTGTGTTGGCCTGTTAATTTATTGATTGGAATGCATGATTTTTATTTTACATCAATTCTAGATTTAGCCTGCAAGATGCATCATATAAGCACATCTTTTTAATATGTTTAGTTACTATTTTGTGACATTTAGAACCTAAAATTATCCAAACCTCTTTAGAATTAGTATAGTTCTCATGTTTACTAAAACTTCATTTAAAAATCTAATTTGGAACTCGAGCACTGTTTAAAATAGCGCAATCTGAGGCGTGTCTTGAGGCTTGCCTTAACACAATTTCGAATAAAAATGTTTTGAGGCGTACGCCTTTAGCAACTCAAGCTTGTTGCACACCTCACATTAGTTGAGGTTTTTCTCAAGGTGCGCCTCACCTCATATCAGCTTAGACGTACGCATCTCACATATAGTGTTTTTCCCCTTTATTAGATGGTTTAATTATGAATTGAAGCTGCACTATCATGCGTAAGAGCATCCCTCTCCCCAATCAAGCTTTCCATTGTTGTCACCTATTGCTTCTGTGTCGGCACAACTACCGCCTCTTGTTGATTTTGCCATCAATGCCACCACTGCTGCTTGTTGCTTTTGTTATAACTACTGCTTGCCTCTCCTATACCTGTCTGTTGCTCTTGCTATAGCCATCGTCGTCTCCTACTTCTATTGTAGCCACGACGTCTGCCGCTCATGTTGCTGCAACCCTTGCCAATTGCTCTTGCTACCACTACGGTTGCCTATTGCTCCAAATTTTGATTATTTATTTTATTTTAATTTAGATATATGGATGTTATTACATTTTATAGACAATAGAAATGAAATAAGTCTATTATGCTAAACTCGTTATATGTTTTACTTTGATATTTTGTATATATATTTTTTATTTCATATTTTATGTTTGTTTGATTACTTGAATAATTGATTTTAATATTATATTTTTATTTTGTGCAAGATGTTACATGATATTTTGCTGCTTATGTAATTTCTTATTTGATATAAATGTAATTTGTCTCTTTTTATAATGCTATTATTATGTCTTTTTTATTATATACAAAAGTTATGATGCTAATATATTATTTTTATCCCTTTATTTTGACTTGTGCAATTTGCAAACTATAAGGCTTACGACTCAGACTGCCTTGAGTCTTTAGGCTCGTCTCACAAACAAAAAATTCCTTAATACCGAATTGAGTAATTTTAAACATTGACATCAAGATATGGCTTTGTTTATTTTTTTTTGTTATTTTATTTTTTTCTTGAAGTTAGGCCTTATAATTGGGGACCTTAGAAGAAGAATATGGTTGTAGCATTCATGGGGGACCATTGCAATTGCATTCTCAAAATCAGGCTGAGAAAAGAAAATTGCAAGTCTAATTGAGCTCTTTATTTTTTTGTTTATTTCTATTAGTAAAGAAGTTACTCTTGGTTTATTTGTATGCAATATCTGAGAACGATGTGTTTGTGAAACAGTAGTTATTTTAGTTTTAGAACAGGTTGTGTTTTTATTTTTCACCCTTTTCACTCTTTCATATTAGCCCAGAATATTTTAGTTTTCTTATCATATTTCGTCATCTTGCCATGGTCAATATTTCATTTTCTGCAGGTTGTTGCTGAGAATGTTGTTGTGCTAAACACTGTCAACTGTACTCTACCTTTTCCAATTACCACCGCTGATGATATTAAGGATAACATCTCTGAGGAGATACGGCTGAGGTAAACTTAATTACTGATTTGGTGTAGTGGCTTTTCCAGCTTAAGATTTGCATGCAGTGTACCATTTGCTTCAAAAAAACTGAATAACATGGATTGGGGCTGGACGTGGGTCCAGGGGTTGTAACGTTATTCAACCCATATTTGATTAGATTTCATTTGACTTTGTTCTTGTTTTTTTTTATCCATGTATAGATTTTAGAAATTTTAAATATGTCATTCTTTACTTTTTAGGAATTATTTGTTTGCGTCTAGAAAATTGTCTTTTTTACTTTTAGAAAATTAAGGAGAATTCTTTTCCTTGAATTGTGTAAGTAATTAGGATTTCAAACTCCCTTTTTTTAATTATAAATAGGGTTGTCAAAACGGCTTGTTGTTCGCGAACAGCTCGTGTTCGACTCGTTCGCTAAGTTAACGAACCGAACACGAACAAAGATTTGGCTTATTTTGGCTCGACTATACATACATATACATACATACATATATATATATAATGGCGTCAGCAACGTCAGCGCTCGCTCGTAGCTCGTTCACACGTCGTCTCCTAACCTGATGCGACTCGCGTCGTCTCTCCTCACCCGTAGTCGATGACGCGCCTATCACCCTGCTCGACAGACAGCTTCCCCGAAGTCTGCTCGCCTCTGTCGCGGCTCGCCAAGACGCTCAAATCTGACGTGGTCATCTTGGCTGTGGAGATGGCCTCGACGCTCCGTTCCTATGCCATTACCCTTGCCGACGACTTTCCTTTTCCTACTCGTTTCCCTCTTTCATGTTCAGAGCCTGGTTTTGGTATCGGTAAGTCCTGCAATGTTCTACAATCTTTCCACGAGGCTCTTGAAGGTGATCGTGATCACACTTTCTTTAAAAAACTTGGTAAAAAAATGGAAAGCCTGCTTTTTTTCTCAGTGGGGTTGAACCAGAACTTTTGCTTCTTCTTGGCGTTTTGCTCTAGTGGGGAAATTCTTTTATGGTCATCCAAAACTTGAGATCATTCGGAAAGATTTTGTTGCTATGAAGCTATTGGGCAGTTGAAATATTAGCTTACTTGAAGACCGATTTATTTATTTATTCAGTTATTTCACGATGCAGATTACATTCGTATTTTTCCTCATAAAGTTATTAAGATCGACAACAGTTTTATGAAAATCCTGAAGTGGTCGATTTTGATCCAAAAGCGGAGTCTTCTATCATTCATGTTTGGATAAAGTTTCCACGGTTAAAATTACCTCTGTTAATCTTGAAATTTTCTACTCCTTAGCAACTACTTACGGTAAGCATCTCAAAGTTGATAGTCCTACGCTTGCTGTCACCAGACCCTCTGTGCCTTGTGTATTAGTTGAGAGTGATATCACTCAACCGGCTCCAGATGAGGTATAGATTGAAACGACTCACAACTGGTATTGATAAAAGGTTGAAATAGAACCACACTTTTCTTATTGCTCTCATTGTAGTATATTTGGTCACAGTTCTACTATCTGTTATCGCTTGCATCATGATCTAAGACCGAATATTGATAAAAATCAGCCATCTACCATCCTTGCTGAGAAGGTGCAACCCAATCCTCTTTCCAACACCGTAGTTCCTGATGAAGAACACCATACGCAAGCTGTTCTACCTCTGGATGCTCTTGCTTTTGAACACTCTATTCCAGTGGCTGGTTTGGAGCATGGTACTTTGGAGTCCCATGAAACATTTCTACATACTATAAGTACAGATCCAAACGTGTTTGTACCACTCACTGTTATTCAAGAAGACTCACATGCCAAGACACATGAAAGTGCTCCTTTGATCCAATAAATGATCAGCTGGTACAACAAGTAGTTGCTTCTAATGTTCAACAACCTACACATGTCCGACACACTTTAGACCAATCCACTGATCAGGTGAGTCAGTCTTCGGATGAGGAATGGTAGGTTTGTTTCCGGAGGAAGAAGAAGAATGGAGGCCGACTCAAGCTCGAGAATTTATTGGACGATACATTGATGATACATTGGTTACTACTGATTACTACTGACAATGACACTCACCTTACCAATTTGTTAGCTGACTCCTTTCCTAGAACTAGAGGCCGAGGCAGAATAAAATTGGGTCGCTCTGTAGCTACTTGATACTACGTGTTTTGAAAATTTTGGTTTTTTTTTTTTGGGATCTCATGTGTTTTTCTGTATTATCTTTTTTTGGAACCATTTGCATATGGTGGTTATCTTTTGGGTAGGGTGGCATGTTTGGGCCCTCTCACACAATCTATCTGTATCCTTTTTTTTTAATATATTAGCCATTGGGCTTTCTCAATATATATATATATATTGATGAGTAATATTTTTTTAAAAAATTAATTGACTGCAAGACTACAAAGATTTATGGTCAATTAAAAGTATTAATTAAGAAAATAGAATAAAAATTATTAAATTAAATTCAAATGATGTTTTAATATAAACAATAATTTTTAAATCTTGCTTCAACCCTTATCATCTCATGACTACGTGATTAGGGTTGTTAAAATGACTCTTTGTTCGTGAAAAACTCGTGTTCGGCTCGCTAAGCAAACGAACAGAATACAAACACACTTTTTGAGCTCGAAATATAAACGAGCCGAACACGAGCTGAACTCGCTCCTGTTCGGCTCGTTCACACCCCTAATTATAAAGAGCAGCTCTTGATGGTAATGAAAGCAGCTTAGAAGTATGGAAAATTCAGATTAAAGTTTTACTAAGTCTGTCCCAACCTCTCTTTCTCTTTCATTGTCTGCCAACACAATGAAGAAGCATGTCGTCCCTCTCCTCCTTCTCCCACTCTATTTTTCTACTAGAACCAAGAAATAACAAGGTTAACGAAGCAAAGAAGCTTCCAAGTAAACCAGATTTCACTTTATGGACGCTTGCTTAGTGAAATTTGTTTAATAACTAATTGCCTTTGAGATAGCAAAAACACAAATATTGGGAGGAACTTTTATTAATTGAGTGGAAGGAACAAGAACAAATCTCATTGGCCTCTCCGCTACACTCTGACTTCCCTGCATTGGGATTGTTTGATTTATTTCCATCCAACGAGTATAGTGACTAACTATACTTTTTTTTCTTTAATTTTTTTTTTAGGCGTGCGGTGCCCAGGACCAAATTCATTGCTAACATGAAAATAACTGGAAAATGTGATTGGGTTATTCCAATCTCTAATCAAGCAGGATCATCAATAGTAACAATGGATTTTGAAGGTGTTGAGAACACTCTAGAGGATTTGGAAGGGATGTTTCTTAAGTTTATGATCACAACTAGGAGGAACCATGACGAAACATGATATTTTTGGTGTAAGTCGCCAATCCCGATGAAGGAAATTTTGAAGATGACAAGGGTATGGAGGATGATGAAGCTTATATGCCAACATTTTCATGATAAATTCAACCACCGTTTAAAGTTAACAAGTAGCTCAAGTTGCCAATTTTTGACGAGATAATCTACATACCTTGATGCCTGATGGTTCATTCAAGTATATCGAAACATGGCTTTATATTTTCAAGTGCAAGCATGCCCAGATAGATTTCACATGATTGAAGCTATCTACCCATACACTCATATGGTAGAATGCGAAAGCGAGGAGCAACAATTTGATAATGTTGACTTTGTGCCAGTTCGAGGCCACCTTGAAGAAGTTTTATCCCATTGGCCGTTCGTGAGAGAGGTAGATTTTATTATAGTGATTGAGATAGTGAAATTCAAGCAGTTTGTACAAGATTATGTCATAGATTTCCTGAAGTACATAGTCTATAAATATGGTTCTAAAAGAATCTTCAACCTTGATGAAGGTCATCATGTGATTGCATGATAAATTTCATAGAAAACCATAGTTCTTAATTGATGAAGTCGTGCCAAGGTGATGGCTTCAGAAGCCTAAAGTTAGCAAAAGTATGGCGATAATTAGGAAGATAATTATAAAAGAGAGGAGGGTGAATACAAGTTGGAAGAAATTGGAAAAGGCAATCAAGCCCCACAAAGGATCATAGTGCATTTTTGCACAAAATGCTTACTTTGTGGCCATGCTGGCACCTTGTCTTGGAAGTTTCATATATAATTGAGACCACAAAAAGGTTGAAGTGCGAAACAAGTTAGTGTAGCATGTATGGATGGAGCAAAATTTTGTGGGGTACAATAGGTAACCTCACACATTGATAGCTTACCAAAACTAATCTGGAAGGAAAAATACAAGAAGTTTTTGTAAACGAAATGGTTAGATATCTATGACACCAACCCCTTGCATCTCACCAAATCATTACTACAATCCAAATCATGGAACGCTGGAATAATACTTCGCTAGGCAAAAATACTAAACAAAATTTAATAAATTGTCTTTGCAGCACACTAAACAATAAAATTATTAAAAAAGCTTTCACTAATATAGCTTGCATACAAGTTTATCCCTGAAAGTAGTCACTAAAAAGGGGACAACAAAGTTTGCTTTTGTATCCTATGACCAACAATAGTACAAAGATAAGGAAGAGTTTTATGCAGAACTTGTAGGTAAATATGATCATAATTTCCTTTATTCTTGGTACTTGAATGTCATAAGTATTTAATTTAGGAGGATTTGGGCAACTGGCTGAAGTGGTGGACAAATTCTTATTTGTTTGGGTGGTCCAAGAAGGAAATGCAGTATAATGTGGATTGATAATTCACCTTCAGGTTTATAATCATGGACCAATACATCTATGATGTCATTTGCCAATTCTATCTTGATGTGGGCTATGTGATCTTTGACAATCCATATCTATAGGAGCATAGCATCATAGGAAAACTATGAAATTTTGTCACTATTTTTTAGAATCCCCTTTTATCTTGATTATGTATCCTTTAATCAAGCAACGGATATGATTAGTGCTAATCTTGAGTTCTAGTATTACTATTGTGTGGGTTGCCAATAGAATCATATAAACTCGCTTTTGTTTCATCTGTTCTTGACCTTTGTTATGGTAAGTAGGTTAACCATCTTTTGTGGGAGTTTCTTACACTTTTTCTGGAGGTGAAGGTTAGCTATAGAGCATGAATTGATTTCGAGAGCTCTATTATCATTTCAATTCATGTATTATCATTCTTCGTTAGAGTGTAAGGAGTTTCGATGGCTGGCCTTGATCTGGCAGAGTAGGGAGCAATCTTTATATGCATTTCACCATGCGACTCATTCTTAGTACTAGTGCAGAAGAAGAATGCTTGATGTGCATTAACAATAGAATACTAAATAAGATCAACAAGAATTGCCATCTAATGTTATGGATCAAGTAGTTAATTGACCAATTGCAATTGGCCAAATATTATTTTTAAGCCGAACTTAAAATTTAACTATCACCAAATTTGTGGTAGAGAGAAAGATACCTTTACCTTTAAACTAAGGAAATGTTGTTCGTATGATGGGCAAGGCTGTGAAAGATCCTATTTGGAGCCGATCCAATTGTGTCTCAAAATTAGATAAAAATTGTTAGTTGGATCAAATAATTCAATTTCTGATCCTGCCCGGATTGAAATCGATCGATTAATGAGCCGACTCTAATTATAAACAGGCCGACTCTAATGTCATTCTTGGTTCGTGAGCAAAACAACACTATTGTAGGGCCAACAACCCAAACATAGAAAACTTGATAAGTACCAATCTGCAGAAATACTGATATCTCAAAATTTGAGCTACAGACTGTTATTTTGCTATGAAACAACAAAATAATTATATGGGTCTCAAAATTTATCCCACTGCTTAGCAAAACAACACCATTATAGTCTGTAGGGCTGAGAATTTACAACACTACTTAGCAAAACAACACTCGTCGGGACAACAACTAACACATTGAAAAGCTGATGGCTATCAACCTGGCGAAATGCTGACATCTCAAATTTTATTTCAAACTGAAATAAAAAAAATAGCCCTAGATTGACATTACTGAATTTTCTAAAATCAAACATGTTAAATAAAAAAACACAAAATTTCTCTTTTTAAATGTTCAACAAACTTAACACCATAAGCAAATAGTGAATATACTAACTATTTTAGTGATAATAAATCTAAGTGCTTCAACAACAACAAAAAGAGAAAAGCCCTTGCTACAAATCCGTGAAAGCGTATAAAGATTCACCATAATAAATTATAGATCCAACCAATTAGGCAATCAAATGAAAAATGTGAGATTGAAGGAATGAAGTAAGAAACTTATTACTAATTAAAGGAAAAAGAGAAGGTGAAGTCGGAATCAGAGAAGAGGAGATTAGGCAATAAGCCAATGACTAACATAACTAGTCTCGCCAGTCACTACCGATTGCATCACCGCGTGAGGCAATCAAATGCTTGATCTATCACATAGGGCTAGGGTTGGTGATTTCAAAATGAATGGAATGGGTTGGGGTCATGGCTGGGATTGAGCACTTCTGATATTGTATTTCAAATCTAGCGTAGGGTTAACCACAATCGTCAATCATTAATGGTTTGTGTATCCACCGTCTGATTATATGATATGGGTAATTATTATTTCAAATTTTGATTTGCTTGTGAGCCACTCGATCCAATCCGACGCGGGCTCGAAATCGGATTGAAAATAAGTCCAATTTGAGGCTTTGGCTCATGGCTTGGCTCATGTTTTTCAATCTGATCTTGATCCGATATCAAATTCGAATCATGTTTTGAGCGATTAACGATCTCCGAACTAAATTTTTTGCTCTAATGATTGGTGATGTTATTTTAATTATGCAATATGCTAGCAATTATGAGTAGATAAATTAGGTATTTTACCTTGTTTTCTAAATTAATTTGTAATTGTTTATTAAGAAGATTATTTGGTATTAATTGTTGGAAGGAGCACTTGCAACACCTCGAGTAGGTTTTTAAGGTTCTATGAGAACCTGAACTTTTATTCAATCTCAAAGTTTGTGTTTGGAAGCCTTAAACATATCTTCCTTGGCTTCATTATTGGTGGGAGAGGGCTACCAATGGATTAAGATAATGTACTGATAATATAAAACTATTCAGATCCATACACCATTTTAGAAATGAGGAGCTTTATGATTGTTTGTCATTATGCAAAGATCCACTATTTATCGATGTCGACCAACCATTCATTCTCATTCGAGGTTGTTGCCCTTGCAATGGGATCTTGATTGGATCTTTTTATTTGCCACCCCTCCCCACACACACACTATAAACTGGTGGTGAACTTTATATCTGACCAAATCTACTAGTACTATGAGCTACTCAACTAACATCTAATGACTAGCCTTAATTAAATAATTCTTTCTCGTTATTAAAAGGGTATCTAACTATATGGCCCCACACATATGAAAAATCTAGAAACAAGTCCTTGCTAAATGACTGCAAAAGTTCTATGTACTATTTTGTCTAAAATCTAATCAGCTTTATAAAAATCTGACCTGAAACTACACATTCTTTCTCAAAAGAGTAGGCTATGTAATTTTGGATCTCACATGTTTGTCGTTGGAATTGTTCAAGACGTGTCTATTAATTTTTTTTTCTTTTCTTCTCCACTTTTTCTTTTTAATTTTAAAATATGATGGAGGTCATCAACTCCCCTATGCTTATATGTTCTTCTATAACTAGTTGTTAGTATGATAGACTTACATTTCCTCATTTTTTTTGAGATGGATGGAGTACTTGCTATAAAAGTGGCAAAACAACCTTTTGAAGAAATGATTTCACTTTGTCTGTAAATTTGAAATAATTTCACTTTGTTTGTAAATTTAATGATTTGTATGAAACTTTTTAGAAGCTTGAGGATCTATGGGGAAGTTTCAATAATAGATGAACTCTATTTTTAGAGAGGATTCTAGATGAATTTATTCTTAATAATAAATTTTTGTCTCTTGGTAGAGTACTTCATTACATTGTATGGATTTCTTTTTGCTTTTTGTTATTACTAGATTCTTTTACATTTACTGTTGTTTCAGTGAAGTGCTTACTAGGTTACTTTAAGAATATGTTTTCCTTGCTTTTCTTTTTTATGCTCTTTATGTTATTTTTAAGTTGGATAAGTTTTGCATATCAATTTTCTAAAAAAAAATATAAAAATTGCAAATTATTTTTAGATATCGAGCCCTTGATTTACGAAGACCACAGATGCAATTCAACTTACGGCTGCGATATAATGTGATTGAGAGCATTCGGGCTTTTCTAAAGAAGCAAAATTTTGTCGAGGTATCATTTCCAGGTATCATTTCCAAGTTCAGAGTTTTTTTTTTTTTTTAAATAAAATAGAATGACTTTTACTTGAAATATGGATTAGTTGCATTATACATTTCGTGGTAGTTAATGAGTGGGCAATTCCATGAATCTTCAGTTTTTGAATGGATAGCAAGCTTGATGGGTGAAAGACATATAGGTTATCATTAATGATTAAATAATCGAAATGAATTATTTTAAGTTCTTATGAAGTAGAAATTGCTATCATTAATAATGTTGCACTCAATAAATCTATCACTGATGCTAATTTATTTTGATTAATGTTTAAGCTTTATACATTGATTTATTTTTTGGTAGAAAATGAATTTGAAGAAGTGTATGATTTTTTCTTTTCAAATGTTGGATGAAGATTTCCCTTGAATGTGGTGTAGGGTGATCAGGTTTCTTCTGCATTGGCCTGTTGGATCAAGGTGAGAAGCTAGGATTGAGAGCCTTTTTTTTTTTTAAGTGATGGACGAGGCTTTGCATTTTGAGAACTTCTGAAGAATAAATAACAATCTAATGTTCATATTGAAATATGGCCTTAAAAGTACACTTGAATCAAAAGGGAGAAGAAAAGGAAAAAGACTTTTCTGCATAAAATAGAGCATTCCTCAATTTTACCATGTATCAATTGTAGTGAAAAACTATGAAATTGCTTTTGATAATCAAATTATCATACCCTAGGGTTCAATGCATGGAGTCTAATGGAAGAAAATAACTTATAACTATGGATCAAATTGCTCTAATCATTATCACATTCTAAATAATACATTAGAAATTCGGAAAGCAAATTTAAGGGCGTCCACTACATGGTCTTGTTAAGCTCTTGTTCATGATTATTGTTTTCAAAATTGTCTCTTTATGATTTTTTCTGTGAGAATTGGCTTAAGCTGAGCTAACTAGTTGGTCCTTATGGATAGCACTTTATTGCTTTGAGACAAGATGGATTCCATCTAATTAATTCCTAATCGCACCTTGGTCCATTTTTTTTTTGTTTGTTTCTTTAACATTTTTACACAGACTATCTTAAATGTGATTTCCTGATAGCTTGAGACTCCAATCTTGTCTAAATCTACACCTGAAGGTGCTCGAGATTACCTTGTGCCATCTCGTGTTCAGGTATGGATCTACTACCTTCGTTGGTATGCTAATTTGTCAATCATTTTCTTATTGTTATTTCTTTTAATCCCTTGTATCAAAAAGTGTCTATTTATCCTAGCAACAACCACATGCTGATGGTAGAATGTAAATACTTTTAAAAAATTAAATGAATGTTGTACTCTATTCGAGATCTGCAGTTTTGTTTAAGGTAGTTGAGAAAAACCTATTCCACCAATATAGGCTATTTCTATAGTATTTAAGGGAAGAATTTAATTTTATCTTGGTGTTTTCTTCATGTTTTTGTTGATATCTTAGATCTTATCCCACCAAGTAAATATTTCAGAATTTAAAATAACTATGTTAAATACTTTCTTACAAGTTTTAAACATTGCTTTCTTTTGTTCTCTTAGTGGGTTTTTTCTATCATTGTCCTTAAAGCCAGGAACTTTTTATGCATTACCTCAAAGTCCACAATTGTTTAAACAAATGTGCATGATCGGAGGATTCAGGAGATATTTTCAGATAGCGAGGTATTTGTATCTTACATTTGCTTGCGCAACCTCCATTTTAATGTTTCATCAAAATAATAAGGAAATAGATGATATGCAAAATCTTGTTTGCTTAAGGTTTGTTTGGCATTAAAGTTTTGCATTTCTTTTTCCTTAAACTTTATTTTATTTTTGTTTCCTATTCTAACTTTAAAGAAAAATTTGTTTGTTTTGTTTATTCATTATTTTAAAAACATGTTTTCACTGTCTATTGGATATGAGCTCTCAAGATTTTAAAGGAGCATTGAGTCAGACCTTGAGCTCTGTTGAGGTTGAGAAATTTTCATTGGAATATTCCGGCAAAAAAATGTCATCTTTAGCTTCCGGTGCCGCTTAACACTATTGTCACAACCAAGGACCCCTTGGTTGCTGCTTCAAATGGAAAGGCATGTAATGCAGGAGAGTCTCTAAGAATTAGATTGGGTAGGTATTGAAGAGGAGCTTGGCGAAGCCGATAATCTAGTTCATTTTCTTATCTCTGTTCCTTTGTCCTAGGGCATCATTTTAGCTGCCATCGTCTTGTCTCCCCTTTTGTATCCTTAGATTTTTGAACCTGATTATCTAGTATTTGTGATCATGACGAAAAATGAAGGCTAAATAGCTTCTGCGTCATCCATAACATGGAGCTAGGTTGGAAAGTAGACTTGAGTTTTGGGGTAAGGAAAAATCTTTTTTATAAAGAACCCAAAAGTATCTTATATTCTTAAAATAAAAACAAAATATATAAATAATACGTGATGAAAAAAATTGATGTTAATGATGCTATCTTGCCCAATTTTTCAAAATAGTATGTGTATTTGAGGAAGCATTTGAAGTAGAATTTTTGAAGGCTACTTGTTTATGTATACTAATTTCATATTTGCGAAGAGGGATTGTGAAAGATACGTATGCTAGTGCTTAGCCTAAGAGAAATTTTTTCTTTTGTGCACCTAAGGGCAATTAAGTTTTTTTGATATTTATTACGATTTAGTATAAATATGACTAATATGTTTAGAGTTAGGGTTGGGTGAGATTTTTTACCTCTCAATTTATAAGTGTTTATCCTCTATTATTAGCTTTGGAGAAATAAAATATTTGTTTTTCATTAATTTCTACGGAGGATCCTATCAAGTCGTATCAGATCATTCTATTTTGGGAAGCCAACATCCAGATTACGGCGTACAGGCTGTGACCGAATTTAGTGACCAAATCTCCCGATACAGTCACCAATCTTGGGAAAACAACGACGTGATCTTGGCAAAAGGATACATTTGACTTATCACTACAACAGTGAAACTACAGTCACGATCGAGCCTACATAAATGACGACGGGGTCGTAGGTAAGAGCTAGCGAAGAAGGTCACCTCAGATCGCAGCTTTTAGTGACGATCAATCTCGATTTGGCTTGCTGGACAACAAATCGAGATCTCATAATACATTCATGTTTTTTTTCTAGCTGCGAAGCCAACAATAGGATCGACGTGCATATAGGAAGCAATGGATTGACATGCGTACAAGAAGGCATGTCTGAGATGTTGTGGTCGGGATCAACGTATACAAACATGAAACTCTTATCTTTCGCGAGGTGCAGACGGAAACGGATTACAGTGTACAGGAGCTTTGCGCCATTCTTGATCAAAATATGTGATAAAGATTGCAGCGTAAAAGAGATCCGCACTGCTTGTGACAGAAACTCACCATCAGGATTTGTGACCGATTGGAATCCGGATAGCGAGAGCCCAACAACAGGATTTCTAGTGTTGAACTTGCATACATGAATTCAGATCGTTGCTTTCGGAGTTTTGCACGGCTTCCAATAGTTTTGCGCCAAACCACATACTAGAATTCAGGGATCACGACGCTAGAGTTTCGTGCATGCCAAAATCATGTAAAATTTTTTTGAATATATCAATTCCAGCATAGAGGAGTTTTGAAATAATGACGGCCAGGAAAATAGATTATTTGGAGAAAAAAATAGAGGAAGAGGTGACTCATCATATATGAAATGGAGGAGCATTTTTTAGCCATGAAGGGGAGTTTCATAGTCTTAGAAGAAATGATAAAGAAGATTGTGGAGTCCCACACAAACCTGCCACAACCTATTGGGGGATCCAGCGAAGGATTTAGAAACTGACTTAAGAGACAACACTTGGAAGGAATAACGTGTCATTCAAACAGTGGGAACGAGCATCAATAAGCAAAATGGGATGGCATGCAATTCAGGTTTGGAGGAGATCAATTTGAAACATTTTGGCCTAGAACGGGGAACTTTGGTAGGTGGAACCCCGATCGAGGGTTGTATCCGACAGCGCCAGTGCCTTTTGTTACAATAATTTTCGGGTGGAAGGAAATTCAGGAGCATATGAAGACAGGCGAGCTGATTATGATGCGAGCTAGACTTTTGGAAGAATAGAAATCAATATAGCAAGTGAATTCAACCCCCACTTTATGAGTGAAATGAACTTTGGTCCAACAAATTGGTGAGGAGGGTCAACCATAAGGAAGCTTAAGGGTCCGTTTAGGGCAGCTTATATGGTGCGGTGACGCACTGAAAACACACCTGATCTGTTTGAGTAAACTGTGTTTTGGCAGTTTATGCGTTTTCAAAAAGCCGAAAACATCGTTTCACATCGCACCTATCTAGGTGCGGTGGGAACTTTCTGGCTATGTTCTGGCTTTTCCAAAAAAATAAAAATTTGTAATAGTCATCACACCTAGCTTATCAACAGATTATTATTTAATCAGCGTATCAGCAGATTATTCAATAAGCTGCAGCTGCCCCAAACAAACTCTAAGATGCTGATCTTTCGACGAGAGGATGCTCATAGTTGTATTTATCATGTGGAGAGATGTTTTAATATTAATGGGCTGATTGAGGAAGGAAAATTTATGGCACCGGCTTTGTTTTTGAAACGAAAGGCTCTAGTGGTATCAATGGAGAGAACAACATCAACCAATTTGAACATGGGAAGAATTCAATGATTGATTGGTGTAAAACTTAATAACCACATGGGAAGAGGATTTACATGAGCAAATTTTTACTTTGGGTCAGAAATGATTTGTCATGGAGCATAGAGAGAAATTTAAGATGCCATCTTACTGTTTGATAGTGTTATTAGAAGAAGTGTTGGAAGGCAACTCCATGAAAATGTTGAAGCTAAAAACTCTAGCATCATTTCACCTGCTGACATTGCGAGGATTGGGGGAAAGTACAAAATTAGCATAGTTGATTGAAGATAAAAACACAATGAAACAGGATAATAAGAACAACATAGGTGGAGCACCATATCAAACTGCTACAACCACAACAATACCAAAAACTCAAGTGGTGGAAGTCCAGGGAGAATTTTCATAGGACAAAATTTATTGGTGACGATCCTCAAGCACCTTATAGAGACAGGTTTAGGAGAAGTGAGCAAATGGGTTATGTTTTCGCTATGATGAGAAGTTTTTCCTAGGACACTTGCAAAGTTTGAACATTGTAGATTTTCACAATGTGTGACGAGGAGACAGAGGATGAAAAAACAGATGCAGTAGGGACACTCTCCCTTTTTCCCAACTTGAAGACAATTTGTCTTTTGGGAAATGAGTATTGTTACATCGGTGCCTAGCCTAAGGGTAATTTTAAATTTTGTGCATCTGAGAGCAATTTAATCTTTTGTCATGTATTATTGTTTAGTGTAAATGCGGTTAATATGTTTAGGGTTAGGGTTTGGGAGAGATTTCCTACATGTAGAATTGAGAGAGATTGCCTACTTCTTGAATTGTAGGTGTTTATCTTTTATTTTATATGTTTGTGATTGTATTACTGGCTTTGGAGAAATAAAATATTTGTTTTGTCCTAATATCTATGGAGAATCTTATAATCCTATCAGATATCTTCTCCTTTTCTTCTTAGATGGCTATTGGAGCTTTGCTGCTACTCATTCGATGACTTAGTAGTAGAGAGCTCCATTCCTCACAAAAGGCCACATTTTTTAGGTTAGGGCATATAGGTGTGTGCTTACTTAGCAATTCAATGCTCAAAATTTCTAGAAAAAAGAGTGGAGATAAGGTAACAAAGTTGAGGATATTAAATTTGTGTTGAAAATTTGGAAGTTCATTGAAAGTGCATGATTTGAGCGTTAGGACAAACCCAATAATAGTTTTTGCTTTGATGCCAATTTGGTTCTTTTTTATTTTCTTGTTTATTTGATTATATGTCTATGATGATGATGATGATGCTTATGATAACAACTTATGAATTGTTCTTTCTAATATTTTCATTTATTGGTACATCTTAGTTTGAGGCTTAGATTCTAAGCTAGTTCAATTTATCTCTTATTGGATTCCCAAGGCCACCTGTGTTTGAATCATTGTCACAATACATGGTTTGTTCCTCATTTTTTTTCCAATTCAACAACAAATGATTATTATTACTAATCACTATTGATTTGGTGTGACTGCTTGAATTGAAAGAGGAAGGTTCAATTAAAGGGATGGGGAGTAATCAGTGGGACTAAGTTCCAAGTAAGCAGTGACTTTTGATTGGTTTTTGGGATGACTAGATTCTATCAAAAAATGAGGGCACAAATTAATCAAATCCATATAAAAATTGGTGGTCGGGTAATTGGACTATGTAAATAAATAATTAGACCTAATATGGGTGGAACTTTTTGTTTTACCAGGTTTAGTTTCAATGAAAACTTAATAGTTGTGTGTGTGACGCAAAGCTCACTTAGTGGTTGAATCGGTTCAACAGGGTAACCACAAGGGGCAGCCGCCCTTGGCTTGATTCGAGGATGTTTAGGGTTTAGGGTTGCCACCCAAGTGAGGGGGGTCCCCTTTAGTTATCTACTAGTATTTATATGTATTTTATTGTATTAGGGTTCAGTTTTTGCTGTGGTTTCTATTTGGACAGCCGCTGACATCATCATTTTCCCTTCTAGGCCTGTATTCGAGGATGAGTGGTGCTCCAATTATATCTCGCTCCAAATTGATGATTATCCACGACTTTCTTCTCC